GTTGTCAAAACCACCACCAATATTCCTCGCCGCATGGCAAAGCTCAGGAATTCACTGAAAGCAGTTTATAGGCAATGGGTTATTTATTTATTTTATTTTTGCTGTGAAAATCCAGAAAAAAACGTTTATATATAAATTACAAAAAGGAAGTATTTCAATATCAGTTGCATTTGATGTAGCGCCGTATCACGTCGTTGCGACGTCTCAAAGCGCTTCGCAGGATATACTGTAAAGTGTGTATTATGTGGGCGCAATATTTATTTGTTTCAGTTTCGTTTGTTTTTTCTTTAAAAAAGACTCGATTAAATAATAATAGTAATAATAAAGATCTATGATAATAATATTAATACAATTAATTGAGGAAATAGCAAAGGTATTTTGTTTGCTATTTCAACCCTGTCCCCGGAATTTTAAGAAAAAAAAGTTAGGTTTATCCAGAGGTTAAAAAGGATTACTGTGGCTTGATCTCCACATTTACTTGGCCATTAATCAGCTGTTTTGACTAATAAAAGTCCAGTACCTATCAGCACACCAAGCCTCTCACCTCTCTCCCACTTTTAAAGCACTTTAATGCCGCGTTTTCCATTAGAAGGGTTGTTGTGTTATTTGCCTTCACTAAAAACTGTTCAAAATCACCAGAAAAAAATACCGCGTTTTTAATATTCTTTATTATTCATTTTGTCTTTCAAAACGTACTTGAAACGTACTTCTTTCCGCCCGCTGGGGTGTTTTTTAAATACAGTATTTATATATGAATCAATATATATTACATTAATTTGCTGGAATTATAAATCCCCAAACCCGCTCCACGCCTCGTATAATCCGGCTCAGAATTTTGAAACCGCGGATTGGAGTTAATAATAATAATTATTATTAATTATTAATAACAATAATCCTTGCATTTGGATTCACGAAGTTGAGACCTCTCAACGCGCTTCACATGATGTACTGTAAAGTGGACGTCTGTACGCTTTAGTAGCAGGATCTTTTTTTAAATATAAAACAAAATTGTGTTTATAGTTAAGGGGTTGTAATGACATAATAAACTCATTGACTGTTTGTGTCCCGCTGCTCTCAGCGTTTAATCTTATAACCTGGTGCCTCTCCCTCCCTCCCTTCCCCTCTGCCTTTTTGCATTTGATGAATGGGTTTGGCAATGTGTCTGATCTTTCCAACAATAGACAAGTCGGGCAGATAAAGGTAGCGCGCAATTCAAATGTGAGTTAAAAGGCGATCTGCCGGGAGGCTCGAGTCGGCTATAAACGCATCTATCTAACTGCGCGGCTTTCCCTACTCCCAGCTCTGCAACCTGTTAGCTCCACATCTCTGCCCAGGATCTTTCACATCAAAGCCCCGATCGTTCCCGACCCCCTTCCTATCGCCCCGCTTTCCATACTATCGCTCTGTGAATCCCGCGATCGATCTGAAATGGATCTGCTTTTTTTCCCAAGTTATTCTAAAAACACGTCAAGACTGCTTCGAAACCCTTGAAGCCAGTCTCACTGCTCACAACCAGCGCCGGTCAGACTTCAGCAGCGTTTTACTGTCAAATATTACATTTAAAGCAATAGAAACCATAAACACACACACACACACACACACACAGAAATGTGCTGTGGCTGTCACGGCGGTGTGTTAGCCTCTGCCAGTTACTCCAATCTCCCGAAATTTGTACCATTCAGTTTATAAATGGATTGTAGTCCAGTACTTCCTTTAGTGGATTCATTTCATTTGCTTTTGATTTTTAACCGGTTGGTTTGCGTACAAAACGCGCTGTCACTGCAGTCAGCGAAGTCTCTCGAAGCGCCTTGAAGCGCTGAATGAAATTATTATTATGCATTAAAACTGCCGCAAAAAAAACCCAATAACGGGGATAGAGAAAGTATGTGTCTTTTTCCTCTTCTGGCTGAATTGATTTGGAAATGGCTTGGGAAAAGCTGAGATCACAGTAAGAGTTCAGTCCCCCCCTCACACACACACACACACACACACACACACCTCCCTCCATCTCCATCTCTCTCTCTCTCTCTCTCTGGAGAAAATCGGCGCGTTTATTCTGACAGATCATGGGTGATCTGTATTACTGGGGAACTCCACCCCAGTCATTACTGACCCCGGCCTGAATGATGGAGCTTTTCTTACACAGCGCCAAAACCCGCCACTGACTCACTGTGTCTCCAAAGAGACGCTCTCTATAAGAGAGAGAGAGAGAGAGAAAGCAACTCTCAGACACAGCGTGAAAGAATGTGAAGTTTAGCTACTTTTATTTTGGTTTGTAATCGATATAAACATTTTCAAAATTAAAGATCCCTTTTTGACGGGGAATGTGGAACGTTTCTGTGGTGTTTCTCTCTCTCTCTCTCTGATATGTGTGTGTACTTTTATATTGAACATCTTTCACTTTGAACATCATTCCCTTTTGACCTTTCAGGACAGGCATTAAATGCCCCACATTCAAGGGGGAAATCGGGGAGAGAAAATAAGGCAGAGGAGGGGACAAACCGGAGGTTCAGGTCGCCACAGCCACAGGCGACCTAAAGAATGAATGATCATCGTAAAAGCCATTTTCCTCTGAAAAGGGCGCTTTTTTTTACACAAGAGGGACCATTATAATGACGTGCAACACAAATCCAGAGACACTAAAGCCAATTAAGTTGTCTCCATTAAAACTCATTCCCCCTCTCTCCGCTCCCCTCCCTCATTCAAACATCTCCTCACTCTCCCCCACCCAAAAAAAAACATTTTCCTGAGGTGTATCTTTCACTTAACCAACTCCCCCTCTCTCTCTGTCTCTCTCTCTCATAAACACACACGCGCACACCCTCCCTCTCTCTGTTTCTGTCTTGTTCCTTTCCATATTAACATTTTTAACATCTGAATTATCCATTAACGTTAAATGTACGAGCCGCGAGCGGTGGCTTTTTTAAGATCTCTTTTATATATCGATATATCCAGATCAACATCTCATGTTACATTTACTCGGGGGAAACCTTTACATCAGAGACTCGCGGTGAAAGGAGCAATGCAAGTCCACTTAATACAATGCAGCGAGTGAATGGGGTATTTTACATAATCACTGGGCACCGATTTCAAAGCAACGTGAGGCCTGTTCTGTCCTCTCAGTTTTTTAAAAAAAACTCTCTCAATGAATAAATAAAAGTTTAAATACGCCGCGTCGCGCAAATTAGTGTGTCCGAGGCCCAAGCGGGTAAGACAACAAATCCTTTGTAATCTCAATGTCCCGAACACTGGAGCGATTCTTCTCCCTCTGCTTTCGCTGAGCGCCAGTGAAGTTGCCTTTTTGCTGTCCTTTTAAATAAAACCATCTTTAGAGCGTTTCCAAAAACGGCTGCCAAAGGGAGTCGAGCCCAACACCAGAGCTGTAAATAATCTCAATGATGAAGCCACCCTCTCTCTCTCTCTCTTTCCCTCTAAAATATTCAATCAGCCTAATTTGGGGATACATTTACTACTGTGTTTTTTCAGGATTATTTTGGAAAGGGGGAGAATGCTCTGATTTGATGTGTGTATGTGGGGGGGTAACTAGAATTGGTTGGTGGGTGCTGTGAAACAGGATGAGGTACACCAGTACCTACAATCCAAAAGGGAAAAAAAGGATTGTCATTGTCAAAAAATCCTTCATATGTTCTGGGTCAGGAGGTAATGGAGTGATACAGCCGTGTCCAAATGATTAGAAACTATTCAACAAATAGATTTAGCAGCGAATGCTGTTAGATCGATGCCCTCATTACCAACGATTTACGTTTATTACCCATTTAACTCACAGCGGGGGCTGAGAGCCTGGGTTTATTTTCTCTCTCTCTAACTCGTTTTCTGTGCTTCCCCCCAATCTGTTTCCGTGCTGCATATTTAACAGAATGGATCCAGATGCAGGTTGTTTTAACCCTTGCCTCCCCACGCCGCGCTGAGCTCTCGTCTGGTGCATCATTGATCAGAATCAAGTGTTGGAAACATTGAGCTTTTAGCGCATGCGTCACCCTCCCGATGGCCCCTGGGATCTGTAGTCGCTCCGGTGTGGCAGAGCGCGGCGCTGAGTGGGCGCCCGGACTACAATTCCCAGGGTGCATCGCACGCACCTCGGCCGTCAGTGACTGACAGAAAGGCACCAGAGGATTTTGGTACAAAGGGGTCGGTGAGATGGGGAAGGAGATAGTTATTCAATACTTTATAATTAAATTGCACCCAAACGATTCCCTGACTTCTCACCAATGTACCAACCCGATTATTAAAAAAAAGTTTCACATCCATCTGGTGCAGATATGAAAATAAGTCAAATTACAATTGAACATTTCCTCCCGTGTAAACTGCGAATCATTCCAACTCAGGGTTCGAAAAATAAAAACAAAGTACAATTTCACACGAAATGAAAATTTTACCTAAACACATATACACCGATCTTTAACCCTAGTGGTTTACATTGCAATGCTATTGCAGGTCGCAGCACAGGAATTAGATCTGACCCCACCCCCCGCCCAGTGCTGGGATGATGGAGATAACGCGCTGTGCTCAGGCAGAGAGCCATCTCATTCTCCATCAGCGATACGGGGGTATGTGGGGGCGCACACAGTGTTAATAAAAGAGACGCGCTTCCAACGAGCAGTTACACAATATGTACAGAGGGAAAGGTAAGGAGGGGTGGGCGGGAGGGGTGGTGGGGTGGGGGGAGACAGCAATACCCTCCTTTTCTCTACCAATGGCCGTGAAGACTCCGGGATCATGTGATGGAGGAAAGGCTGCAAGTTTGGGAAAATGTGAATGAGAAAACGGAGCGTAATTTGAACCTGATGGATGTGACCCTCTCAGAGGGAGACACCCACACACTGGAGTCTATTTCACACACTGCAGCTGATCAGCCCGGAGGATCCGGAGGGCTATGATCGCCAGGGCACCGCGACTTCGCCAGGAAACTGACCGAACTCTTTAGATTTGCACCGTCCAGATTCTTGTGTGGTTTTTCTTTCTTTAAATAACTCGCTTGTATGTGTGCCAATTTCAGGCAGCTGACTATGATGCAGCGACCATTGGGAACCAGCACTGCTTTTAGCATAGACTCGCTGATAGGCACCACGTCCCAGCCCAGCGCGGGCCACTTTGTCTACACCGGCTATCCCATGTTCATGCCCTACAGACCCGTGGTGCTGCCCCAGCCGCCCCTCCATGCCGTGCCGCCGGCTCACCACCACCCCCAGGTCAGCAACCTGCCCGGCTCCCTGCCCAACGCCTTCTGCTCCAGCCTGGGCCAGGGCATGGCAGTCACCACGCTGATGGCCAGTCTGCCGGGCACCGGGGAAGGCAGCAGGAGCTTCCCGCCTTCCCAGCACCAGGAGCCGGCAAGGAAGTTCATCCAGGCCCTGGCAACTTTCGACAAGGCTTCAGAAGGGAATCAGCCGGACAGCGAGGAACCCAAGGCGTTTCTGTGCAAAGACAGTCCCTCGCTCTCCTTCCCGGCCCCCGAGACTGTGCAGACGGCGATCGGTGAGTAAAGCGTCAGAAATAAAAGCGTTTTCCTGTTACAGACACCACACGCGCGCGGATTGTTTAAAACATCTCAAATGCTTCGCTGGCACAGAGGGGACCTCTTTGAGATCTCAGAAGGAGATCTTTAAACAGAAATCTTTGAGTTCAGCGTTTGAGAGACCTTTCTCAGAAAACTATTTGAGATCCTTTTAAAGAAATAATAATAATAATAATCCTTGCATTAGGGCTCAAAGCGCTTCACAGAATGTATAACGTGTGTATTTTGTGGACAAAATGGGGCAGCCAATTGCGCACAGTAGTGTCCCACAAACAGTGGCAGATTTGAGTGACACATTTTTTGGGGGAAGGATATCACCGGGAAAGCGATCCACCAATCGACAAACAACCGGGATGCTGCTCACTGCGAGGAAAACACAGGCGTTTAAAAAGATCTTTTAAAAATAGATAATTGTGAGATCTGCATTTGAGAGTTGATTTCTTGTGCCAGCACCAAAGTATTGCAGATGTTAAACCTGCCCGTGGAGTTGATTTTATTTGTGGGCGCCTTTTAAATTCGCGTTTCGATCGATTTCATTTGTTTTGGTGTTGGTGGGCGATCTCAACCAACACAGAACGATCGCGGCGTCCCGGGGGGTGTGTGTGTGTGTGGGGGGGGGGGGGGGGGGGGGGGCACGGGCTAATCCCGGGAAGTCAACGTTTGTTAACAAACAACACATTACGGTAATAAAATGACAATTAAATCATAATCATCATCATAATAGTCCTTGGATGTGATGCAACGTTGTCCAAACGCATCAAAGCTTTCCACTGTTTTTTTTAACTTTATTGGAAGTGTAGTGACTGTTTTTTTTCTTTGTAGTGAATAGTTCTAATTTTGCAAATAGAAAGGGCCGGATTCAATCCGAGTTAGGGGGTTGGTGTTTCGGTGGGTGTGTGGGGGAGATTTTTTGAAGTGGGTGGGTGGGAGTGCGTGAGAGAGGCGATTTGAGTTGATTTGAATAAAGCAGAGTTTTTCCTTGTGCAATTATTGTCCCCGATCAGAGGAGATCTGTCAGCACAGCCGAGCAGGTGGTGTTGTGTTGTGTTTCGATCTCAAAGACTCGTTCACGTCCCACAATTTAATTCCGAACGGGGCTCTCACTCATTCACTCACTCACTCACTCAGCAAAAATTTTTCAAAAATGTTTGCAAAATTGTTCAATAACAATTCGCAATATTTTGCAACTTACTATGAATTATTATTTGTTATTAATAACAACAATGTGCTAATAGTATTGCAAAATGTTATTATGTAATTGTTATTATATTATTAATAATAATCATCATCACAAACAGCTCTGAGGGAATAAAGTTCCATTTAGAAACAATGCATTTGGGAATAATAATATCATTATTTTATTATATTATTATTTGTGAAACATTTGCTCAGAAGGGGAAGTTTTTTATTATTATTATTTAACGAATAAGCGGTTTATAACGAATATATTGGGAATAGATATGGTTGTACATTGTGGTGTCTCCTGTTTTTCACACAACTCAGGTGCTGTGGCACCGAACAGGGCTCAGGGGAAGGAGGAATCGAAAGGAAACGAAGAGACCAAAGGGAAAGAGGAGAGTTTCTCAATGGACAGCGACCTCGACTACAGCTCAGACGAGAACACAACGAGCCAGAGTCACAAAGAGGAGGACTCGGGAGCCGGACTGGAGGAGGGCTGTGTCGGGGTTCAAGGGAACAACAACCCCACCGCCTCGGTCAGTGGTAAAAACAGGCGGCGCAGGACAGCTTTCACCAGCGAGCAGCTCCTGGAGCTCGAGAAGGAGTTTCATTGCAAAAAGTACCTTTCTCTCACCGAGAGGTCGCAAATCGCTCACGCCCTGAAACTCAGCGAAGTGCAAGTGAAAATCTGGTTCCAGAACCGTAGGGCCAAGTGGAAACGGGTGAAGGCGGGTAACGCCAACTCCAAATCTGGGGAACCCTCCCGCAATCCGAAAATTGTGGTGCCCATCCCTGTGCACGTCAGCCGCTTCGCCATCAGGAGTCAACATCAGCAGCTCGAGCAACCCAGACCCTGAAACAGGGGAGCAGAGCAAGCAAGGTTTAAACACACACCTACACACACTCACACACACACACACACACACACTCATACACTACACACACACTCATATACCCCACACACACTCATATCCCCCCACCACACACACGCACTCATATGCCTCGCGTATACACACACTCACTCATATATCCCACATACACACTCACACAATCATATACCCCACCCTCGCACACACTCATATATCCCATCACGCACTCACATATACACATTCACATAACCCCCATACGCTCATGTATCCCACATACACACTTACATACCCTGTACACATACATTCACACATGCACACACGTATATATCCCCCACACACTCACGAACACATATAGTGCACACACACTCATATACCCCCACGCACTCACACATCCGCTATACATGCACACTCACTCACACACACTGACATTTAACACATACACCCTACACACCGACACACCCTCATATATCACATATACACACACTGAAACTCAACACATATACACACACTCACTCACAATCATATACCCCACAGTCGCTAACACCACAAACACACTCACACACTCACACAAAATATATACCCTGCACATCCACACACGCCCTACACACACCCACACTGACAAAACAATGACAAAAATCCAAAAGGGAGAGAGGAAATAAACACAGTCGAAAACTGAAACTTTTGTTTTTGGAACGTGAAAAAACGGAAGGCTTGTCTAAGGAAAACAAACCTATTTATTATAAATAATTCTACGTGTTTGTATATAAAGCACTGAGGAAACGCCTCAGCTCTACACTGCTTTCTGTGACCAAACGCCGCACGAACAATTACTTTCCCGAGGGGAAAGGGACCGCATTTTTGCTGTTACATTCATCGTGCGTTAGATCTCTCTAATGTTTGACCAAATCCCTCCACCCAGAGGTAAATGCCATGTACAGTATTGCTATTTAATGTCTTTTTTTAAAAAAAATTGTAAATCCATTCAGAAGTTGGAGTTACTTGTTGTAGGATTGTTTTTAAAAAGAACATTACAGCCCTTCACGTACATTTTGTCGGTCGCAATTCACACAGACACACTCACACACACACATACACACAAACAAATAACAACGTTTGACACATACACAAATAACATGTTAAAAAGACAAGAAGTGGAAACGGATTAGAAAGAGAGAGAGAGAGCAGAGAGTGGTTTGTGTGACAGAATTCTGTTAAGAAATGTAACTTTCTCTCTGATTGTCACCCCCTTTTATACAATCTTAACAGTTGAAACTTTTTTTAAAAGTAAGAAAAAGAGGTAAATAGGTGATCAGCCGTTACATAACATGGAGCAGGTTGGCTTGTGAAATGCTGCCAGCGAGGGGGTTTAGGGTCTCTGATTAGGGTGGATCACAAACACACAGGGGATTTGTTTATTGACTGTTAAATGACTAATGGGGCGATTTATTCACCAAATCGCTGCCTCTCCAAATCCGTTTCTCAAAAACGTTTGGACCAGTGATGCGGCGCATCCAGTTAAGGAGCGATATTCCGCTCACAAACTTTGGCGATTTATTGTTTAAAAATTGTCGGTGTCTCCCCTCCCCCCCCACCCCCCACCCCCACAAACACACACACACACACACACACACTCACACTTACAGAGAGAGGTGGGGAGGTGAGAAATGTCGCTTTTTATACCCAGACTTGACCTTGTCCGTCCTCATTAGAGCTTTGTTTGCGCCCGTTTAACGAATCTATCACGAACATTCGTTATAAACTCCGATCAGAAACACAGCAAGAAGTAAAATCAATTTCAAAACTTCATAAAAATCTATGATATTAACAAATCTATAGAGATATTATCTAAATTATCTAAATCTATCTAAATATTATCACAATAATAATCCTTGCATTTGACAAATAGCGCCTCATCGCGTCGTGACAAATCTCAAAACCCTGCAACGTTTTGAGTGTAAAATGTACTGTGAAGTGGATTGACTGTATATTCTGTGGGCGAAACCCGGCAGCCAAATGCGCACAGCAGCGTCCCACAAACAGTCGTGGATTGAGTGATCGAAGAATAATACTTTGTACAAAGCACCTTTTTAAAGAGAAAAACACAATCGCCAAAAGAAAGTTACAGCTGAATGTTCTGTTATATCTTGTGAAAAGAAACGAGGTGCGTTTATCAACCAAGAGAGAGAGAGAGAGAGATTTTACCAGTGGATAGATCGCAATAAAAAGCACAGCGATAACAGTAGGCGCTGTTTTCTGAAGAGTTTTTTTTAGTCCAAACTGCTCTCACTCGGTCCAAGTGCCGAGGGGACCACGGTTTTATGCAAATATAAATGGATGTCTTAACAAAATAGCTGACATAAAATATACTGAGACCAAAAAAAAGAGAAGGCGAGAGCATTTGGGAAGGTGACTGAGATGGCTGAGGATTTAGCAAAAACCCAATGCCGGTACATTGCATCCGTTGGGTCGGGGGAACGCGGAGGCGATCACACTGCACACACACAGCTATCACAGTGGCTGTGTAATTCAATCAAACACTACAGAGGTCAAACCGATGGAAGTCAGATAATTTACTCCAGCTACAGAACACTGTAGATAATTTGTGTGTGAGAGAGAGAGAGAGAGAGAGAGAGAGAGAGAGAGAGAGACCTAGAGCCAGATAGATAGATAGATAGATAGATAGATAGATAGATAGATAGATAGATAGATAGATAGATAGATAGATAGATAGATAGATAGATAGATAGATAGATAGATAGATAGATAGATAGATAGATAGATAGATAGATAGATAGATAGATAGATAGATAGATAGATAGATAGATAGATAGATAGATAGATAGATAGATAGATAAAGGTCGGCTCTTGTGGTGACAAGGATGTTTGACCCTAACCGCTTGTTTTGTGAGGGTGAAGCTGACAAGACAGGTGTTGATTCGCTGGCGAGTCTTGACCTGAAATAAACGCTACACGCCAAGACATGGCGAGAACAAGACAAACAACTGCGCTTTTGATCGCTGTCATCATTACCATCATCAGGGGCTTTAATTTGGCTGCCTAATGAGTCAGATAGAGAGAGAGGAGAGAGAGAGGGGGGAGAGAGAGAGAGAGGAAAATTGTCAATCGCTACGGATTTTAATGAATTTTTTTGCAAATTGTAATCAAGCTGGAACGTCGCAGTTCAGTGAATAATGAGCCCCAGGAGGGTGCACTGGTACCTCGCTTTTCATTACATTTCATACACGCTGCACTAAATTAACAGCAACTTGTCTGCGCTTAAAATTAAGTCCCAATGATTAATTTTGATGGGGAGGCTAAAGATTGCTTCGTCCGAATAGTTAGCGGCTCGGGATCTTTTTCCTGAAATTAATAGAGCTCCGAGCTGCTATTTGGGGCTGTTGGTGCTCCCCCCCCCACCCCCCCACACACACATTGAACAATACCCGGGTTTGAGATGAGTGAGTACAATATCATGTGCCCCCTTTTATTGTATAAATAATCCACACAAGAGAGAGAAAGATGGAAGAGAGAATTCATTGAACCACACACACGATTTTCAAATATATCAAACGTAGATTTAAAATAACAGCTACAATCAAATTCCTTACAAATGTGTTCATTTTTTTGGTGTGGGGGGGCACCAGACAAGAAAGGGTTAATGTTGTTAACTGCTCACTTTTCGGATTTGGGTTTATGAATCTCCGTTTGATTTAATCAGGAATTGGGAGAAGGGAAACGCTGTTATGTTATATATATAATTGTAAAAATCCCTGTTAGCAGCAACATACATTATATATACATTATATAATAATAATATATGATATATTATACATTACCATCAACTCAAAAATGTACATTGGTTCAAAGCAAACTTGACAGCCCGCGTTCCTGGGTGAAAAAACTGTCTATTTACATAATCATTTATTCCGTTCCAAAAAAAATATACACATTTGCTGACTCTCGATCTAATTTGAGAGGGGAGGGGAGGCAGTCAGGATTTAAAAGGATAAAATTAAAGGCGGCAGAACAATTAATAAGAATGCTTGCTGTCACGATTTCCTCTATATTCAAGAAAAACACCAACTGTGAGAGAGAATGTGAAAGCATCCGCTCATTTCCATAAGAAGCGGCAGCGGACAGGAACACAATATAAGTGCACATTGTAAAAAGAGAAGGTGCTCTCTCTCTGTTCTCTCCTCTCCCTCTCTCTGTTCTCTCCCTCTCTCTGTTCTCTCCTTCTCCCTCTCTGTTCTCCCCCTCTCACTCTCTCTGTTCTCTCCCTCTCTCTGTTCTCTCCCTCTCCCTCTCTCTGTTCTCTCCCTCTCTCTGTTCTCTCCCTCTCTCTCTCTCTGTTTTCTGCCTCTCTCTCTTTGTGGCTCTCTCTCTCTCTCTCTTTGTGGCTCTCTCCGCTTACAGAAGGGTCGGTTTGGACAAACCAATTTGGTCATGTTAACCTTCTCTGCTTTGGTGCCTAGCAGTGAGACCCTCTCCATGTGTGGACCAGCCAGTGACACAGTAGACCCCCTGAGACCACCACCCCCCCTTTGCCCCCCCCCCCCCCCCCCCCCCCACACACACCCCCACTGACAAAAGGCGATTCTTTAACCGCGAGCGGTCAATGGAGCTAAATTAAGTGAAATAACACATTTTTATTTCAATCCCTGTCTCCTCCACGTATACAAACGCATACACGCAAATATATACACACACACATGCCTGTACGCACACATATACACCCCCAAAAAATATACGCAAATATATAAACACACAAAAAGATGCATATACACACACGCATATATATATACACACAAAAACATACACATCTACATACACACATGCACATCTACACACACACACACATACATACGAGAACCAACTAATAACAAAGGCATTTATAAAAATTTGGATAGCGGTGGTGCAAGAGCGAAATGCATCGAGTGTAGCAATCTTTGGCTGTGAAAACGAAACAAGATAGAGAAAAGATAGAGATAGAGATTGCGAGGTAGCAATGTGTCCGCTTCCCCCCAGGGTGACAAGTCGCAGTGGATTGGAATCGCCAC